CTTTGGTAATCTATGCCAAACATCCAATAATTCCCAAAGTTCAACATTCTCGATCAAATAATTGAGTTTTCAATTCAGCATCGGTTAAATCTCGCATAGATTCATCTCCAACCATTTTTGCAGACATTGTGGAGCAGAAACTGTAGGCACAGATGTTCGCAATTACTCTGGTAATAATTTTGATACTCATCATTGTTATATGTAATCGTTATACCCCTTCCAAAATATCTTTCCAATTTTATTGGAGGTTTGAGATTACCGAAACTATACAGTTTTGCCGTTTTTAATGTAAGCTACCCAATGAGTGCCTGCATTCAATTGAGAATCCAGGTTCAATACCGCTCATTCTCGCAGCCGAGGACCACGAGTTGGCAACGCATCACGCATAAAGACTCCACAAAAGTGTGGTATTTTTAATTGATGGGTACACTTTTGAATTTCCGAATCATATAATGCTCTATGGGGCATTATATGTGCGGGCGGTTTTTTGTTGTTTTTTCAAGTAAAGACCTCGCCCTTTGCGTTGATGTTGTTTCTTTAGAAACAGACCAAATCCATAGCTGCTGGTACTAAACACATAAAAAGTAATGAAAACACATACCATTGAATGAAAAAAAAAATTGGGTCGAACAAAAAATATTGTATACAACCACAAACTCTATACATATACTGAATAGAGAAAAAATGGGAAAGCAGTTACCTTAATTTCGTACAATTTCAAATGAAACAACACGACAGCGTCACTCGCTGTGGTGAAAAATTGTTGTTGCTGTTCATTGGTTTTCTCTACAAGACTGAACTTGAATTTTTAGAAATCCACCTGCGGGAAACCAAAAATGAAATAAGTTTATGTTTCAAATTATACGAACACTCTCTCAACAAATGACAACATGAATAAAAGTTACACCTTACTATGCGTTTTATTCAACTGGAAAGCTGGTCACAAAATGAGCTTCTGTTTACAGCATTATATATGTGTATATAGAAAAGCTATGACATTGTAGAAGGCAAATAGATGAAATACGAGAAAAACTCTTATTCAGCATGGATGATTCTCGAGTGAAATTCATAATCACATTTCCCGGTTATGAGGCTGCCATCTAATAAAACATCAAAACAAATTGTACGATACAAAAATTATTGTAAGAGATAGTATTCGAGAAAAATGGATGTCATCAATTACTGGTTCTTATGTTTTATTCATTATTAAAAATTGAAAAACATCAGCAATTGTCATTTCTTTTCTTCTGATGTATGTAGGATAAAAAAAGTAGCCGAGGGTTGGCTTGAGGAATATGGAATTACCTCTAAACCGTTTTTCATTACAAATTAATTGAAAAAAAAGATAAACCTCAGAAAGTATGCATAAAAAATATTCAAGTAAATTATTCTGGGAGAAATTTGGGAAATTCAGTTATAATTCAACAACAGCTCTCACAACTTTGAATTGAATTAAATTTGCATAAATTCATTTGAGAAAAAGTCAAAAACGTATGAAAAATCTTGCAACGAAAATTAATGAAGTGATCATGAAAAATACTTACTTTTGGATAAAATCGTTGCACTTGTCACTGATATCACTTTCAACTCATACAACTAACTCATTTCGCCTCGCATGAGGTAAAGGAAAATAAGTGATGAAATATTTCAAAATCGAACAAAGAAACTTTGTTTCGTCGTTTTGAGAAATGCGTATCTCTGGATGCTAACTCAGCATTGACAGTGATCAATGTCACCTTAGGTAAGAATAGAAAAATAGGTGATGACATATTATGAAATCAAACAGAGGGTCTTTGTTTCGTCGCTTTGAGAACTACGTATCTCTGGATGCTGATTCAGCATTGACAGTGATCAATGTCACCTTGGGTATGGATAGAAAAGTAGGTGATGCCATATTCTGAAACGAAACAAAGAAAATTAAATTGTCTTTGTTAGGTCGTTTTGAGGCGTATTGCCGGATACCTATTCAGCATTGACATTGATCCATGTCACCTTGGGTATGAATATAAAAGGTCTTAATGAATATGTGAACCGTTGCTGTCTAGCCCTTTGAGGACAACTGGTCAGCTCAAAAAACCTCATTTTCTAAATTATTCTTCTGAATGTCTAGCGGACAGACGGTGTAACCGTACTGTATGATGTGTTGCCTATATCACTACTATTCTTGCAAACATTTCAAATCCACCTGAACGTAGCACGTGTTACCATTATTCACGATTTTTTCAAATGCAGGGATTGTTAACGAAGTTATAGTTTTTCAGCTCAACTTTATGAGTAACGTGTCTTCAGGATGTCAGGTGAGAATGTGTTTTTATGTTGAAGTGAGTGAAAATGAGCCATTATTAGTGCCCGTAACTCCATGCGTGTTGTTGATGATGTTTTATTGCATGAAATCTGTTTTTAAAAAAAATCTGTTTTTCCGTTAACCAGCTGTCGCACCCCTACGAACAACAACCCTCAGAAGTCGAAACTTGTGCGAGCTAAGGATTAACGAGGTCTTACCTTTTAACGTGTGATTCCTAACACGGGTTGGACGGTAGCAAGTGAAGATCGATCGTTCAGACTAGGGCTTGAACCACCGACCAACACCGCAGTCAATTCGAGTGAGTGAACAAAGCACCCACGCCGAACCGCTTGGCTACCGACTGACTGACTGACTGAAATACTGTATGACTTTGCAGGCTAACTGTGGTTAGCATTGAATTATCGACGACCCAGAAGAATCCCTGTTTATGAAAGGTCCAGAAGATGATGTGCATAGCCTTCTTGACATAGAATCTATGCATATCGATATGCTGAATGACGACGGGCAATTCGAACAAGTTTGTCGGCGTGATATTGATGCATCCCCTACCATAGCCAAAGAAACTGATGGATGGAACACAGAAAATGAAATGCCTCTATCACAATTACAAGTACAACTATGGAGACTGACCACAGTATGGACAAGCTATGCCACATTCTGTACAAAATCCTCTCCATTCATACAGGAAACAGGATCAATCATTTTAGAAAACGTAGAGTGTCCAACTATTCATTTGGGAATGTTTTGATTGAAAAAATTGTTCTTTAAACAAACCTGTATACCCTACAGAAAAGCGGTGACAATTCTCAAGCTTTTCTCGTTGCGTGTTCTGGAACAAATTCAGCAGTTTTTTGTATCTAACCGACGAAGATCTTGAAATATCAACTTCAATTCACATTCAAATTGTGTAGTCTTTGGAATTGCGCCTGCGCAAATACTGCTAACTGACCCTCATTGACTGATGTCGAACGAATCGTTTTCCATTGTTTATATCTATAATCACTAGCCTTAACGCATATTGCCTTGGAATTTCACACACATTCGGTACGTTCACATACAAAACATTATATATTATTGTAGTCGGAAGTACAACATTTGTTGTGCAACGGTGACGACATATTCTACACTCTGAAGCTAGATTCTTCTCATATGAGATAAATTTCGATTGAACACTTTGTCTTGAATGTCTAAATTATTCAACTGATTCAGAACATTTTTCTTTTTCTCATATAATTGAATATCTTCACTTAATTGTTGGACACGTCTCTCAAATTCCTCTACTTTGCATCTGTATTATCTAAATGCCATTATATTACTAATTTTTGGTCACCAACGACGCACGGAACATCGTTTTCCTTCCAATCTCACATTGAATGTAACTGACTTATGGCGTACAATTATTCGAATACGAAAATGGCTACGATAATAACGATGGAACGATATCGAATAAATGCACGCGAAACGATTGAAACCGCACGGAAAACGGTTAAAACGTACGCAAAACTTTCGAAAACGCACGAAAAATGGTCGAAACGCACGCAAAACGGTCGAAAAGTACGTAAAACGGTTGAAACTTATGCAAAACAACGTATTTTGAAATGTCATTGTCGAATACTTCACTCCCCCGTTGTCCGCACAACGTGTAACCCCTCAACACTTTTGGGTGTCATGTCATCTCCTCTTTCTCCTGATGATGCTAACTTGGTTAACAAAGATACGACTTAGTGTCCTTCTGGCATGTTGGAACGCACTTAAAACGTAAGAGCCCTCCTAGTCATTACCATACAATTTTCATCGAGTCGTTCACGCCTAATTTTGAAACCGGCAACGCTACACTGCCCCTTAAACAACGATTTGTTTTACAATCGGCAACACCGAAACCACGCTAGCAACGTTTAACCTCGATACCATCTCCATCTCTCTTTGTGTCGATTACGTCACACGTGTCTCTCACTCTTACATACGCACACACCTTTGTGTGTTTGAAGAGTAAGATAGTAAGATAGTATAAGATATAAAGATATGAAATATCAATCATTTCCCAAATCTGAGTATATTTTCATATATTCTACAAGGAAATGGCGATTACAATTTCCCTAACATTCTACGAGAATAAAAAAATTAAGTCAAGAATAATGAATGAGTCAATTTGAGTCCCGACAAAACTAACGCTATAAATACCAACCATTCGCAGTCATATCCAAAATCTTACATTGGTGTCGAGGCCAAGGACAACGTCTACCACGCCATTGTCCTGGGGATCGATTCTCATAACTATAAACTTTTTTTAATTAAGATCACATGGCAAGGGGGTCTGAAACGTGCATCGAGAGAAGTATTGCAATTCTGTTGATTGATACTAAAGAAAACTCCTGAAGACACCAACTTGTTTGGTGAAACGCGCACCGAGAAGACTATTTCATTTTTGGAAATTGAGAGAAAAGTTTTTTCATCTCCTGGTGGAACGCGCGTTGAGAAGGGTATTTTGCTATTGGTATTTATGAAAAAGAAAGAGAAAGAGCAAGAAAGTACGAATATGAATAGTCCAGAGCGACACAAAACAGTGGGGATTAGTTGGTCTAGAGCGCGTATTTGTTGGTACGTAATTTCGTCTTGGAAAGTATGTAAAAAATTCAATCAGGTATTAAATATGGTTTGGTTATTGGTAAAGAGATGGTGAAAATAAAAATCGATAGAAGTGAAACACATTTACTTAATTGTTCGTCACATGTTGGTTTCAACAAAATCAACTGTACCTCCTCGTGGTGGAGGGGTGCAACATGCAAAACAGTCAAGGGGAGAATTTTCAGCGTCCTCCAATGTTTGGGGAAGATGTTCGTTCAAAGTTTCCGGTAATAATAAAGAGGAAGTTCCACCAATTAATAACATCGTTCCCATTATTATTAATGGCAAAATCAGCATGTCAGCGCCCTGAAACAAATGATATATTATATTAGTAGATTTTATATGACTTTGCATAAAAATTTGTCATAATATTTTTTCAAGTTGAAGGAATTTATGATGCACCTTGAATTGAATAGATTGCACCATAAACTGACTCCATCGAATAAAGAAATAAGCTCAACCGTATATATACCTCAAAACTATGGTGTTTGAAATATTATCTTTTCGAAATTAATTGCTGGAGAGTCGAACAGGCAATTCAGAAAGATTATTGTAACTGAAGTTGAAAGAACAGTGTTACTGTGAAGACGACATACTTTTTAAGTCGATGTCAATATCAGCTTTCTCCTGAACAAGCTTCATTCGATAATTTTCAAAGTAAATTAGATCGAGTTCAGTATTTAAAATTTCTGAAACTAGAAGCAGAAGTGATTAGGATGATTTCAAAAAGAAGAAATTAAATGGACTGATAGAAAATATTTGAATGAAATAGACGATTCAGTAGAAAATTGGTCTGATGGTGCTATCAGTAGGGCCACAGATTTACAAGTATAATAGTGAAAAAAATTTATGAACGGCGGTAGTTGTTATGGTAAATTATATTTTTCAATTTGTATCAAGTTCTTCTGAAGTTGAAAACCCACAAAAAACAAGTTAAGATATCTGTTGAAGAAAATTTCTGCATCAAAACATACTTTGCAATCAGAAAGTTATTATTAATTGTAAAATTACACATTTTATGTGACAGCGGGATTAGCCGTACTGGTGCCAGTCCTTTTCAATTTACATCCGAACGAAATTTTCGGTATTGATCACAGGTATCAATGAGTGTTTTTTGTTCAGTTCAATGTTCATATAAAATTAGTTGTTTCGAAAGTATGTTTTCTTTCGTGTGATTCTATGTTTGAATGAAAGAAGTTGTTTCGAAAGAGCTTTTACTTTCAGTTTGTGTCTGAAAATTACTTCCTTGCATGATCTAAACATCTTCGTGAACAGTTTATTTAGAAATCAATTGTTCATTCCTTCCTTTAGAAGATTCCCACATTCTTTCCTATAAAAATGGAGGAATAGAAAACCAAAATCTTCCAATTCAAATAATCTATATGAAAATCATAAAAAATGTACAACTGTACAAACTATACAATACATTTTGTTGAGAAAGGAATCTAGAATTGGAACCTCTGATGTAGAATAGACTCAAAATAAGTACTGTTACCTAAAAACGTTAACTTGGTTGGCCAACTAATACTTGCATTAAGATTGATTCTTATTAAAATTTCCAAGAATTCAATTCTTTTTATCAATAAGGATATTTTTATTCAAATACTTCTTGTATGTTATGAAAAGATTCGTGTCCATCAAAACTATCAGCAAGTCGAAATATTCTGGAGAAAATGCTATAACTATGATTTGTTCAAATGCTTGCTAAATGTCCTATGCTCTTCAGTTATCGAATTCTCATCAGTTGAAGATCGGAGGTGATACGAGGACAAACTACTACCCTCACTAGAAGTATCATCGGGTTTCGTCAGATTTTGAACTGATGTAATACTAGTATCAGTGTCTATCTTGTCCACTTTAGAAACATGTGAAAGTGTACTTTTTCGATGTGCTCTCGACCAAATTTGATCTCTGCTCGTATTTTTTTTTGGTTTTCTCAGACCACAACATCTAGTTTGAACAGCATTATCACATGATTCTTGTTTGGTCAAGTTTTTGGAACTAGGTTCTATTTTGAAATTTCCTAGTACGCTTGTTTTCCGTTTTTCTTCATTGAGAATATCTTCGAAAGCTGAATTCTTCTTCCTCCTATGGTGAGTTTTCTCAATGAATCTTTCTCTTCTTTTTCTTGCTTCATCAGCAAGATGGTCCAGGCTGTCATCAGTCTCTGAAAGAATGGGTTTTTGCTGCTCGAGTGTCCCCCAGCTTATAGTGCTCGTGCGAGCTATTTTTGGATGATACAAATTTTCTAACCCATTTTCCTTCGGTTCGATCCCCATTTCATTATTTTCTTCCACTTCACTTCCAACTGTTTCAATCTCTGGTATTTTGATTTCTACTGGATCAGTTTTTTCTACTTCAATTTTTTTTGGTTCATCTGATTCATCTAGTTTCAGAGCTTGCTTTTCGGTTTCATTCATTTTTGCTGCCTCTTCATCATTTGGTGTTCCAGAAACTTCATTCTTGATTGCAGATTTATCTTCTAATGTACCTAGTTCATTTTCCAATTTGATGGGAATCGTCTCTTCCAACTTGATTTTTTCTGATTCCGGTGGTTTTTCAGGTAACTCCTCTATATTGATAACTTTGCTTTCCTCAAGCTTCACTTCATCCACACTCATTGTTTTATCAACCATTAGGAAATGATATTTTTGATCACCGTAAATTTCTCCATGGGTCTTTTGCATCTGGAAAGAGGAACTACTACTTAAATCTTCCACTCTCAAATTCGATTGTTCGATAATTTGACTTCTATACATTTCAATAATTGCTTCAGGATCACTTTCACATATATGTAAGAGTTTCTTCGCTATACATTTTCCTTCCCGACAACATTGCTTGCAGTTCAGAAAGCTCTTCACAGTATCAGAGATGATTGGTTCCACTGTCTGTTGTTCTTGTGATTCTTGTTCAGAAGTCGAAATACAGCCAAGAAGAGATTTTCTGATGAACATTGGACCTTGTAATGCTACATAATCGCCCGGTTCATCTTCTTTCTCCAGTTCCAGTTTGACAATACTCCTCTCATTCACAGTTCTACAACATATACTTTCTCCCTCAAGAAACTCATTTTTGCACTGGTCAGAAGGGCACCCATATATTTTTTCTGAAACAACTGAAAGTTTGCTATTAGAAAGACGTATTTTCTCTTCGTTATCACTTCGTTTAGAACTGGCTGCCATTGGAACAACCTGTTCGGAAACATACTCATTGATGGCCATTGCCTTTTCTGAGCTTTGAATGATTATTTTTTTTCCATTTTTATCTAGTTTCGTATCATCTCTTCTTTGAAGACATTCACATTTCTCAATTTTTTCAATATTTTCCATTTGAAATTCACTACATGAATCAACTGTTTCGTGATTGACCTCAACAGTTCCTTTAACGTCAGAACTTTCCAATCTGGGACGGATATTTTTTCTCAATATAGTATTTTCAGTACGAAGAAGTTCTTCAGGATTTTCTAATGTTTTAGAATATATTTTGTGCATATCGACTCCCTTAGTGATAAAATTGGTTTCACCTACAACACTACCACCCGATTCTTTCAAATTCACTCGTTGGTGAGTATATTTTGATTCTTCTGCTGATGAAACTTTTCCAATATCAGTCTTGGGAGTTCTGATGATTTCAAAATTCTCCATTTTGGGATGAATATTTTTTATCAGGCATGTGTTTTCTGTAGTGGTGTATTCTTCAGGACATTCTACCCTTTTTGAATCTAACTTCTCCATAACGATTTCAATTGATTTTTTACTCTTCACACTACCTGAAGATTTTTTCGGATTGATTTTCTTATAGTTAATTTGAAATGATGAGGATTTTCCCGTTTCAGTTCTAGGAGTGTCCATGTTTTCAGGACTTTCCAAGTTGGTTTGAAGAATTTGTCTTAGTGGAGTGGTTTCAGCAGAGGAACATTCTCTAGGTGTCTCATTAGTTTTCCCAATGATCTCTTCATCTACCACAGTGATCTCGTCAGGATCAGTTTCTGGTGTATCGTTATAAATTATACCTTGTTTTAAAAATGGTTCGTCAGGGTTATCCTCTATATTAGCTACGATTTCAGGTATTTCATGATCCAAGTTTTTTTGTCGACACAAACACCCCTTCAGAGAAGATTTTTGACTCATAATATTTTTATCAATCTGAGTTGTTGGGAGTGAGAGAATACGGTTTCGTTCCTCAGGAGCTTCATCTCTATTAACCTTTTCATCAACCACAGTTATTTGCTCAGGCTCAATTTCTTGAATTTCTATATTCATTATTTCTATTTCAGTTGAAAATGATTCTTCAGTATTGAAATTAGCAGGGGCTACGACTTTATTTTCTGGAAATATTGTTTCTTTACAGCATTTAACTGAAATCGTGTTCAAGTTGGTTACTTTTCCGGGGGTATCATGCATTTCGATTTTATTCGTTTCTGTTTCATTTTGATCAAAAATACATCCGCAATGTCTTGTACATTTGATATTCATTTCTTTCACTTCTATACATGGAATTATTATTTTTCGATTGATTTCAATAGTTCTTATGATATCAGAACTTTCCAATTGGGAATGTTTTTTCAATAAAGTGTTTTCAGTAGGGGGGCAGTCTTCTGGATTTTTCAATGTTTTAGAATCTAATTTCTCTATATCAGTTCCCTCAGTGATATAATTGGTTTCAGCTACAACACTTTCATCTTCAGAATCTCTCAACTTCATTGGTTGGTGATTAGATTTGAATTCAGCTGATGGAACTTCCATAATGTCATTTTTGAGAGTTTTCATGTTTTCGGTACTTCCCATTTTGAGATAAACATTTTTTCTTAGGGAAGTGTTTTCAGTAGGCGAACATTCTTCAGGGCATTCCGTCCTTTTTGAATCTACATTTTCCACAACGATATCAACTGATTCTTTCCCCTTCGCAACAGGAGCTTTCCCAGTATCGGTTCTCAGGGTTTCCATGATTTCATTATTTTTTGAGTTCGATTGGAGAATTTGTCTCGATGGAGTGGTTTCAGCAGGAAAACGTTTTTCAGGAGTTTCTGGATAGTTTGATTTTACTTCATCTGCATCGATTTTTACCGATATACCTCTATCAGGATTCGTAGAATTGGTTTCAGATTCTGCCAACTTGATTTGATGATAGTCCGAAATGAGTTCTGTTGAGGGAACTTTTCCAATGTCAGTTTTGGGTGAATCTGTTCCTCCATTATCTTCAAACCCGGTTTCCATTGTTTCAGTTTTATTTTTAGTGACAGTATCTTTCACAAGACTTTGGAAAGGTTTTTTGTCAATGACAAATGCAATCGGTAATATTTTTTTGACCATTTCTTTCTCCAAGTCTTCATTTTTGGAATACTTTCTGGTTTTCATTAGAGTGTTATGTGTGACTGGAACTTTTTCTAATGAAGGAACAGGGTTTGATAATTGTGCAGATAGTTTTTTGACTGAGATTGGAGTAGAAGGTTTATGAAATGGATTCACTGTTTGAGATGTTATGTCTGAGATTTTTTTTTCAGCAGATGGTTTAACTGGCATTACTATTTCTTCGATAATATGAATCTCCGGATTTTCTTTGAGAGAACATTTTTTGGTTTCTCGATGAGATGTGGATTTATTCATTACCAAGGAGTTTTTCCCCACACATGAACAGGTATTACATTTTGTATTCACCACACTAGGATTACACTTGCTTTGAGGTAATTTCATTGCATTGATTTTTTGTACACATGATAAGGATGCTCCACATTTTGAAGTATTTGTAGATACCCCACATACAATTGGACTGTTCATTTTGCTATTGGGTAGAAAAAAGTTATCCTGAAAACTGATTTTTGAAGTTCTCTGTTTGGAATGTTGACTTGCTATTGAAGATTTTTTTTTACAACAATCTAATGATTTCACTTTTGGATTTTGCAGTGGTCTATTATTGATGTAACTCATGATTGAGATAATTGATGATATGAATTGAATGGAATGATTGAAATGAAAATGTATGACAACAACAGATTTACTTTAAGATGACGGATATGTGAAAGCCTAATGAAAACGACACCTGTCAAATTGAAGATTCGTCAAAGTTATTGATGTCAAATTCTATATGATATTTTCGAAATAGTTCTACTTCCCTTTCGAAACAGCCACAGTCCCTACTCAACTCAAAACATCAAAAGTTATACATGTACACAAAAAAAAGTAGAAATATATTGAATAATTATAGGCCAATTTCTTCAACACCATCATTTTCCAAAATTTTTGAATATTGTATGCTAGAAAAGCTCACTTCTCTCATAGAGAAATTTAATCTAATACCAACCGAACATCATGGATTCAGAAGAGCACGTTTAACTACTACCACTGAGTCTATAAAGAATATTCTGGAAGAGTTTGACAAAAAAATGTTCAATTGAAGTATTCTGTGACTACTAGATTAACTCTGGGCACTCGGCATTAGAGGAAGAGCACCGGTAGACGGCTGTTTCAGCCAGTACCGGGCAAGCGGTCCTCGATTGAAGACAAAATGTGAATAACCAAGAAAAGTTTTTGATAAAAATAACTGCCTGAACGCAAGCGAGACATAACTGGCACCACCTATTGGTGTGACACCCAAGTCAACTTGCCAAGTTTTTATGTCAGTGTTGGTGGTTTGGCCAATCATTCGATAACTACGTTAGCATAAATTTGGGAAGCTATATTATCTAAAGAATCTTATGATTCAAATGAAGAAGTTGGTATTGATTTGATGCATAAAATTGCAAAATGGTTTTAAAAAATTAGGTTGAATACAAATTCAGCGAAAACTGAATTTCTTATCTTTCATACAATACAAACAAATTGAAAATATCAACATTACCGTAAACAACACTAACGTGAACCGTAATACCACTGTTAAGTTCTTAGGTCTCAATATAAATAATAAACTAAATTGAGAAACCCACATATCTACTCTAATAAAAAATATTAACACCAATATATTTCGAATACGCTATATGTATAAAGTCTTGACCTTCTACATACAAAAATATCTATTTTACAGAAATTCAGTCGAGACTGGTATACAGAATCATAGTCTGGGGACAATCACCTGCTACCACAGAAAAAATGCATTCGTGCCATGTTTTGCAAACTTCAAACAGAACAAATTTTTAGAAAGCTACAAGTACTATCCCTTGTTTCTCTTTACATATTGAAACTGCTTGTTACATTTATAAATGTAGAAATACTTTGCTCTGTCGTAATGACATACACGATTGTTCCACCAGGAATCAGCATTCGCTGAATATTCTTCTAAATAAATTAAACCTAGCGCAAAACGGTCCTCTAAGTATCGGAATTCGAATTTTCAATGAAATTCCCCAACACATCACAGATGAAACTACCTATTTCAGATTCAAGAAGTACTGAAAAAAGTACTAATCGAGGGTACATTCTATACTTTGGAAGAATTTGTTGGTATATAAATCGTGTGTAATTGTATACTTTACCTTGCTATTTGAATTGTAGTTGAACTTTGTCTGTATTGTACTTATCATTTTATCATATAATCATTTAACTTTCAACTCTGTGATTTTGCTTTTTGTCTCTATACATATAAATTTTTGAGATGTCTTACACCACTAGTGGTCTTCAGATGAATACATTTGTTTTACAACAAAACAAATATTTCGAACGTCAGCTCGCTAGGGTTAAACTGCATTTTGACAAAGGTCAAAGTTATTTTTGATGTTGCTTTGTTCAGTTCTTCAGTATGTAAGTATTAAACAAACAAATTACAATGTGAAACAAATTACAATGTTCGTAAATTTTCTACGTTTCAAGTAAATGAAACTATACAAACTATAGATCAAACTTATTCCGTGTCATAAAAATCGTAAAATATGAATAATTTGTTTGTTTTTTCTTATAATATTATCCAGATTGGTACTAAAGAGCCCTGAGGCAAGAGTATTGCGGCAAAGAATCGATGTCTATTAGTGAGGATGACAGTGTTCCATATAAGTGAAAATTTTTATCATTCATTTAGTATAATGTGTAGAAGACCTGTGAATTCGAAACGAATGTTTGGAATACAAACTGACTGGAGAAAAATGTTTTTGTATAATTCCGTGTTCATTCAAAAGTATTTGCTTCGAAAGAATTTTTCTTTCGTGTAATTCAATGTTCATATGAGAGTAGCTGTTTCTTTCAGTTTGTGTCTGAAAGTTACTTCTTTGCATGATCTACAGATCTATGTATAGAGTCATTTCTTTTGAAATTGATTTCCTCCTTCATTTGAAAGATTCCCACATTTTTGTATCAAGATGGAGTAGTAGAAAGCCAAAAACTTTGTTTCCCGAACTATACACGTTCCGAAATCTGTTATTTATTTCACGACGTTCAGAAAAACTTCAGCTACACTCGAGATATCTATTTGAAATATGTTCAATTTTTCAGGAACACGACCAGAGGTTAATACAAGCATCCTAAGAGTAATCAGGCTATACTCCTTACAGTTTGTAAATTTTTGTAATGAAATTTATATTATTCATTGTCAAAAATACTAGTGCAAGTACCTATGTAACTGAAATCATTCGATTTTTATCATCGTTATAATAACTCCCATTAGAGCTATTGTGTGACATCAAGGCTGACACTTGGTTTTCAGAATTGAAGACTATATTATCATTCGTAAAAGTATGTAAATGTTACAACTGAATGCTAACTTTTATTCATACTGATATTATTTATACAGTTTACGAAACTTCAGAGGGTGATTCATTAGGTCGATAAGTCGGAGAACAGGGTCTATGAACATATATCTGGAGTTGCTTTATTTCTGAGACAGAGGGCGTTGCAGTTTAAATTAAAACGGTTTTTATGAAATATCATAAATATCCTCACATCGATTTGTTTAGAATTTGCTACAGCTATTTGAAGTAATAAGGCGCTCATTCAGCCCCAACTAGATTGTATTGGGAAAAAAGTACTCCACTGACTTGTTGTTGTAGGTTTTATTTTTTTCAGATTGGTCAACTGAAAATACAACTTTTTGTAGTTTTCTTCATGTGTAGCTTTGTTTTCGAAAAACAAAATTGAGGCCACTTTGCATATCACGAACACTTGCTTTGGAGACCAGCTGACAGTGACATATCAGTGAAAGTCAGATTCGTCAATTAGCAGTGATTCCATCATAAATTATTTAACTGACGTTGAAATGGCTAACATGCATTTTATGTATGGATTAGCAATTGGAAATGCAAAAGAAGCACGGAGAATTTACCAGGACAGATATCTCAACAGAGTGATTCCATGTACTGAAACATACAGAACGCTACATGCAAGATTATATGAAACTGGTAGTTTTAAAAAAATACAGGTGGTGAAACACCAGAAACTGTAACAACTTCTGTACTAGTAGAAGCTATACTTGATACGACAAAAGAAGATCCTTCCAATAGTACCGGGAAGATTGCACTGCACTCTAAAAAAACCTTCCACACCCATATCCGAGCTCTACTGCCTCGGATATGGGTATAGGAGCTCATTTTTTCTACCATCATTCACCCATTTCGATAGAAAAAGTGTCGGTACTTGTAAGAGGCAACATGTGATTTATGCACGACTGAACTTCAGCTCATTAAGTACTCTGGCTCGTCAGCATCTCGACATCACTTACTCTAATCACTTAATTGGACGTGCAGGACCTCAAAATTGGTCAGCTCGCAGTCCCGATATTAATCCTCTAGATTTTTATATACGGGGTCACCTGAAGGCTCTTGTTCATAAAACACTTGCACTAGATGTGAATGACTTAAGGAATCGAATAACTGACAAATGCAGTAGTAGAGAAACTATAGATGCGAAAGAGGATCTGAATGCTACCTCGAATGGCGAAGAAGATATAGCCGAAGAGTCGGGAAAAAATGCTCGACAAGGAAAACAACAGACCATGGAAGAACAAATGGACGGACCGAAAGAGAAGAAACCAATTGATACTAAAGAAGGGGAGAAGTTGAAGAAAAGAGAAGTTGAAGAAGGAAAACCGAAGAAAAAGGTGAAACCAGAAAAATCAGTAGATTACCTGAGCCAATACTTTATAGTACCTGAACGGTACTATAAAGCCAAGATGGATGAGAGACAGCATGCTAGAAAAGAAAGTATACGCCAATACGAAGAAGGCAGGAAGATCAGGAACGATAAATTCTATAGTAACACGAAGGAGCACACGTTCAGAGTAGGAGATGACAGACGATGACAGAATTGGCGAAATATTGGTTAGGACCATATAGAATCTTGAAAATGGTTACGCCAGTCACGTGCCGAGTAAGAAAATGCGAAGGAAGGGAGGAACAAGTAGTTCAAGTGAACAGGATGAAGAAATTCGTACGGAGTCCCAAGGAGAGAAAGGATGAGGGCCGAATGTCAAAACGTAACAAGATTGAACCAAACAATACCACACCGGCCATGTGGCCGTAGTTCGTTCCGATCCCGTTTGAGGTAAATATGGAGGAAAGTACCGAGGATGAAATGGAGGAGAAAGAGGAAGAAGATATACAGGAAGCACCGGTATTACGCCGATCTATGAGAGCCAGGCGTCGACCAGACCGATACATACCTTGAGAAAATGAATGAAATGGCAATGCGCCCTGCGGGGGGGGGGGCGTAGAATACTCCGCCCGGTTGGGTGTTCGACCGAAGGGGGTACAAATCGTCCTAATAAGAAACACCTCTCTTCACGCCCTGTCCGTCACAAGTTCCATTTCTTTGCATAAAAGCGGGAAGGAAATGGTCTCGGTCAAGACGTCCGAGTGGGGTTCATCCCGCGTCTCACCACTCCCCCCGAAGGAGTGACCAACCTTCGATAGTTCATAGACGATATATTACAAGGAATCTGAGGATACCTATTTGTAAAAGGATCCCCCTTATCAACTATAGTCCTCGGGTTTCTTATTGTTAAATCCATTCACGTTTACAGGGATACACATAGGAACTGTCCCAAGTTGTTAGTGCTCCAATTGATAAGGATGCACCATCAGAAAATGTTTTTAT